ACTGGATTAAAATTAATTCAGTCCTTGGACTGGATCAAAATTAATTAAGTAGTGATTTATTCGTACATGAGATGTCATTTCAAATCCTCCAATTCGGACTGGACTAGATTTCAAGTCCTCACATTTTGATCCAGTCCTCTGATTCGCCTCGGACGTGATCAAATTGTGTGGACTTGAAATCTAGTCCAGTCCTCTTAGTCGGATTTGAAATATTATCCCTTGTAAATCAGATGCCAATGGTGGCCAAGGAAGATTCAGTTTTGGTATTTTTGCACCTTTTGGTGAAGAATCAATGCAGCATTGTATAGAATTTGTAACTCATTGACTTTAGAATTTCCCTCAGTTTCTGTGTTGGAATTCACATCATCATCATCAATGGTACAGCTCTCTTTATCAAAGTCCTCATCATTGTTTTCAGACTTAGGCCTGTTTATATGGAAGCCGGGCTGGCCTGATAAGCAAGACCTCGCTGTGTAGTAATTTTTATAGTAAAAATTATCATGCGTTTATATGGACAAGCGGGCTGGCCCGGTTGCCGAGATCTCGTTTGAAAGAGGCTACTCAGGCTAGATCTCGCTTACCAGGATGGAAATTTCTCCATATAAACATTTACAAGCGGGCTATCCCGGTTGCTGGGATGAAAGTTCAAAAATACCGCCGCAAGCTATTTTTAACAACTGTCAAAACAATACAATGTAACAAAATTGTCCCGGCAAGCGGGATGAAAGTTTCTCATATAAACACAAGAGAAATTCATCCCGCTTACCAGGCTGCCTCGCTAAGTGGGCCAGCCCGGCTTCCACATAAACAGGCCCTTAATTGATATATGTTCCTCAACCAATTCAGGAGAATCCAAATTTTCCACATATACAATCTCACTAACATTTCTCATTTTCGGTACACAGAACACAAGTTGGGGATAACTTTTCATCAGTCGTTGCTTGAGTTTAAAAGCTCTATATCTAGATGCATCCACATTCTCAGTGTCCTTAGCAATGATAACAAATTTCTCCAGCAAATCTTTCATATACTTTATTTGCTTATTTCCGATGACCTCCATCTCAATTACTTTCTTACAGAATACATCATAAGACTTCTCGTACACTGATACTCTCGTTGCTTCTTCGTCTCTCTGGTGAAAAATATTGTATAATTGCAGTAGCAAACTTTGTGATAGCGGATTTCGAGAGCTACACAGTCTTTCCCCTGGATTTGCATGAGTATCTGTTGATCGTTCTTTCTCTCAGCAATCTGTACGTAGAAGACCAGCATCAATTGTTTCTGCCAACATGAGTGGGGTTCTTCTTCTCTTCTTAGTTACCTGGTGTGAAACAAAATAAATTATTAAACTAAATATCTGCTAATAACAAGGTTGGATGTTTGTAGCATAGAAACTACTTTACCCTAAATAAACTAAATTGATCACAATTCAATATATTTTAAAACCAAACCTGAGAATGTTGTGCACATTGCGCTAGTATTATACCTATCAAAATACCATACCTTGTCTAGTGAGAACCATGAGGCGTCTCTTCCACAAATAATACATATCTCTGGGAGTACATGCGCGTTTCTTTTAGCTTCTGCGACTGATTGACGTGTATTAATTTTTCGCCTTGGTTCTATTGCCTCCACTTCCACGTGTGATTCGTCGGTAGAAGTTATAGTTTTAGAGCTAGTTCCTTCTCCTTTTTCTTCTTTTCTCTGTTATCTACGGATCTTCTCTTCATCACAAAATCTCTTCCAGCATTTCATATGATGGTTCCATTCTAAGTTAATGGTGTCAGAGTTCCAAGTTCTCGATGTATGAATTGACAGATCCGTCATCGATGTTCTCGTACGATTTCTTAGCTATTTCAGCTTGTTGACATTTAAGTTTGGCCCATTTTGACCTACACTCAAGAAATTGCTTAAGCCTTTGGCGTGTAACTTTGCAAAGTTGCTCCGTAACGCCATCAAAATGCATAAAACATGAGGATATTCGGGTTTTATAAATATCTTCAGCCATGCATATTTTCACAACTGAGCGTGTTTCCACTTCGAAGCATGTGCGTTGGTTGTGCGCGTGCGCAATGCGAGTTTGGCTGAGTTGCGCATGCGTACTTGCTATCAAAACAATGGCGGTTCGAATATTTCGAAGCGCGAAAATATCAAACTTTGGAGAGATTTTTCTCCCAATTGTGCACCTGTTTCGCTTGGGGAGCAACGGATTCTGATAAAGTAAGTTTTTATCTATTTATTCATGTGAAAATTACGTAGTTCCACGAGGGGTGCAACGGAATCCGTTTTCTAAGCATCTTTTGGATGCTCATCCCACGGCCTAAAATAACAGCTACATCGTTCGGTCTGGAAATATATTTTCTTGTAACGTTTGCGACGACGTGCAATTTCTTCGACGAGCCGTATATCACACCTTGTATATTGAAATCTGATATATCTTTGCTCACCGACATTCTGGGCACAATGACATTTGATGATATTTCTAATTGTGTAACTGGATAGTATTCATGACAAATAAAATATACAATCTTGTAAATATTTCTTACATGATTTCTGCGTTATTTCTTCGCTCACTCCTTGCTCAGTGACAAAACGCTACTTAGTTACCCACCCTGATAGAAATTTATTGTTACCTCCCAGATTCTGGGAGACACGTGACCAGACAATACCAGGGTATTTTCTCAGCAGGTGGCCGTGCACCGAGTATAAGAGAAAATAGCCTGGGTACGAGGTTGGTTACTGGCGAGCTTTAAAATTCAATCCAAGAGATGAATTATGACACGAAGACTGTCAAATTTGGTCCACAGTAGAAACAATAATATGACACTTTAAAATGAATTCTGGATCAGCCATGCAATGTGCCATTTAAAGCATGCATCAGTTTTGTTAATTATTAAAACCTTTGATAATCCCTATATAACATTGGTTCAATACTACCTCCTCCACAGGCGTTGTGTTATTGACTAACTCCGTGCGGGCGCGAGAATTTGGAGGGAAGGGAATTTGCGGGCGGCGCTAGAAATGTGGGAAAGGCGGGGAAATGCCTGCTTCCGCCATCTTGAAAAGATTATTTAGCAGGTATTTCTCGCGCCACCTGCAAATCCCCCCTAAATTTTCGCGTCCGCACAGAGTTAATAACAAAACGCCTATAATCTTGCAAGAGATCAAGACTTTCATTCCTTCCACACTTCGATTGAAAGTAAGCGAGCGATAAAGTATTTACAATTGGGAAAACCAACTGAGACTGCAGTTTATAAAATAGAAACAGGGGCTTACCAATTTTTCTTAAATTAACTTGGATGATTGGGTATTGTTGCTGTCAGCATTTTTCTTACCTTCTTTCTCACGTTTATACTGAAAGAAAACTTTTTTCAAGTTATCTGTTTTATTTTCTATATAACTAGCAATTATGCAGCCTTTAAAAGATTATTCAAAATACTTACTCTTCATTTATAAAGGAACATGAAGCAAGATTATATAATGTTTTATCATAATTTAATTTTAATGGTCAATTTAGTGGTTTTAATATTTCAGGTTTTTGAAGGAATACTCAGAGTAAGTGGTTTATACTTGAAACTTTATGATGTTGGTGAAATCAGCTATCTTACATGGAAAAGAAAATTTCAGTGCAGCAAAAATGAAGACCGTAGACAAGAGTTGTTAAATAACATTGATGAAACCTGTGAAACAATGGAAAACGAGTTGAGGCAATGGAAAGAAACTATAAATGGTAGAAGACACGAGTGCTATTCTTTAAACCATTTTACAATGAAACAGATTTTGAACTTGAGAAAAGAGTTAGCAAAAGCTTGCATTGGCCAGGTGGCGATCGATGAACTACCATTACAGACTTTTATGCTCCTGGAAACTGTCAACAAGAATGTTGATCCTTTGCTTCTTGCAGATGTTTTAAGAACAATGATACCTGAGAATTCGATATCTTTGACAGAAGAAGGTTTTAAAGATGAACAAAAATATTTTGCAAGCAACACAGACGGTGCGAGAAGTCTGACGGGAAATGTCGAAGAGGAAATAGATCTGATTCAGCCAAACATGGAAAGATGGAAGAATTTACTTGAAACTTTTACTAGTGCAAAAGAGACTCTTGAGGGTATGTCCATGGGATATTCTGAAGAATATTTACTAGCTGCTTTACAAGACTGCTGTCCAGGTACAATGGAAGACGATCTTGTTGCCTGGGTTGTCTCGGGCGAAAAGGATGAGGAAACTGTTATGATGTTGTGCGAAGAAGCTAAGAAAAACCCACGCCTGTCACATCTATTTAAAGATGCCTTCAGCCCAGAATTCCAGGATGTAAATGATGAAGAAACATTGTTGTATAGTACGACTACACCTGAAAGGTAAACTTTGCTTCTCTTTACTATACAGCGTCTATCAGAAAAAAGTAGATAATTTTGAAACGGCTCTTAATTTCACAAATCCGTTCATTTCATGAAATTTTAGTTGATAAATATAGATTGTTTGGGTACTTATAATGTAGAATAAACAAAACATTTTCGTACATATATATTTCCCAGAGCAGGGGGGCGGTGTTTTTTAGCAGCATTAAAAATAGCTTGCGCGGAGAAATTGAAAAGATGAAATTAAATGATTTTGACTTAATGGGCGAGAAATTTGTTATGTGTTGTGTGAAAGGCATTGGTGCCAAAAAATGAAAGTTTCAGCAGCTATTCAAAGACTTAAAATCGAGCAAATTTTCTGATATTTGGACCATTAATAAAACACATAACAAATTTTTCGCACATAAACTCAAAATGCGTTTTCACCTTTAAAAATTTTCCCGCGCAAGCTATTTTTAATGCTGCTAAAAAGGACACTCTCTGCTCTGGAAAATTTATCTTAACGATTTTTTTTGTTTATTCCACATTATAGATACCCAAACAATCTATATTTATCAAACATTTCAAGACATGCCACACCCTGTGTAGTTGGTTTTCTAAAGAATGGTACTAAAACTTTAATTGAAAACAAAAAAAATCCCTTCAAGGAAAACAAAGTGTGCAGCAAAGTTTATATCAAGTTTATATCTTGAAAGAATCGTTAATTACAATGAACATGGCTGAAATTTGACACATCTTAAGAGGCTATGTCTGTAATATTAACAAGCTTGGGGATGCAACTATCTGAAGAATATAAGGAGTTAGAATTCGATGTCTGTAAAGGCCGTTTTCCACTTCAAGCGTAACGTACCGACACGTATCGAAACAAATTTTAAATGTCAAAATTTAGTGAATGTTGATTGGTTAATACTTCCGTACTACCGCTAAAAAGTTGACTAGCGACGAACTTTTTATTTTGATACGCGAATCAACCGGAAGTACGTAAATTTGAAAACCCATCTTCAAGCTGCGCATGCTCACCGGTACGTTACGGTACGATACAGGCGAAGTGGAAAACGGCCTTAAAACACTGCATGCAATTATGAAATACTGCAAAATTTCAATTCTTCAAAATGACCATCACAAACTCGTCCTTTCATCTTGGGATTCTATTTTAATTCGAGGAAGTCGATGTCGAAAACCCTAATTTAAGATCAAGACATTAGCGCAAATGTTGGATATTATTATTGATACTGGTAGGGAAACTCTCCTAATCATGTCAATAGTGAAAGTATCAAATGAGCCTCCTCGGTTATGTCTCGGTCATTAAAACGATTAATTAGGCAGCTTCAAAATTCCCGAGACTTAATAAACTTTCATGTACTAAGAGAAAATGTAACTGTAAAAGAAAGAAAAGCATGCCGTGATGAATTTTACATGGGTAAAGTTGGGCATTTGAACACTTGGTGGAAGGAAATAAAAAAATTGAGTCGCATGTCTGAACAAACAACAAGACGTGTACAATGTCGATATTATACAATTTAGAAAAAATTCCTTTTTTCCGACAAAATTTCCCTACCACCCAAACGGTGGAAAAAATCAAGAAAATTCAGAGAAATTGTATCATAGACCCTACGAGAAATCAAGTATGGTCTATAGCATAGGCTAGGTTATCGTTCGATTTCACGACGTCACGTAATCCATGATTATTACTAGTAATAAAAGTATTTCTATTGATGTTTAGAAAGATAACCATACATAGATGCGAAATCATGGATATGTGCACCTACCGTTATACCTTCTATATATTGGATTCTGGGCAAAGACGTCAATATCGATATTTATTATATAAACATAAGTGTTATATAGAGTTTTTGGCCACTCAGAAAAATCGTATTAAACACACGTAAAAAATACGATATTTTTGCGTGTGAAAATATCATTTTTGCAAGCCAATCAAAAAGTGCGTAGGAAATATGTTTGACCAGTCAGAGAACTTGTTGTAAAACGCATTAATTGCCACGGATATTTTATTGTTTTTCAATTTTGCCTTTTTGGCTTACAAAAAGTTTTTTGTCAAAACATTTTTTATTCGTTTGAAACTGTTCAATTAATGTATAGCTTGAGTTTTATGACTGTCGAATAGGATTAATGTAATGATTGTGGTAATCATATACATTCGTGATGGTAAGATATACACTGTATAGATTGAGTTCTGAAACATTGCCTGCTTGGATTTTTGCACGAAATCATGCCCTCCCTCAGGCTATACTGCCGCGTCACATGCCCGTCAATAAAATGACTGACGTTGCGCCTCCCTGTATGTATATTGAAAACGAGGAAGAAAACCACATAGCATTAAACATAAACACTTGTACAAGAGACAAAGTGAAAAAATTTATGGCTACCATATTCTTAAGTAAATAAATTTAATGTCAACAATATATGGGTTCTTCAAGTTTTTTCTCTTTTCGTATTCATATTGTTTGAAATTTAGCAACATGTTTGATCACGCAAAACCACTGATCTTATTTACGAGACCTTAGCAAGATATTTTTTTAGTGTGAACATCCCTGTATGTAAAGATATATGCATTTACTCTCTCCGGTCCGTATAATCCCAGGTCCATAACGTAAACGGAGCCTTCTGATTGGTCGACGAGAGGTACCGAGGAGTGAAGATAATTTTCAAACTCAAAAAACAATCCAAAAAGCTGAAAAGTCCTCCTTCAGTGGATTTAATGTCAAACCCGAAATGTACTTTTTTCCCGACCTAAATGCGAAAAAACAAGTATTTCTTTGACGTATGAGTATCGAAGAATCAGTGCCAAATGTTTAGTTTTAAAAGCGCAGCATATATCCAGCTATATTTCGAAAAATATACGTTAAAATACAAACCCTTGGATCAAAGACTTACCCTGAAACATAAAAAAATTTAAAAATACCTCAAACCGCAGTTTAATAAATTAAACATGATTTGTAGACTCATTTTAGTCATATCATGAATAATTTTTTATAAATGCTGTCATTGACATTGTTGTCAGCAAGTACAATTTGTTGCTGCGTGTCGAAAGAACATTTTTGAAGCATCTTATTAGTCTAAAACGATCAGAAAAATAAATAGTTTACCTAGTTATTGTCTTGATGAGTAGGAAAGCATTTATTGCATCAAAAATATAAAGGGTTTTATCGTGTCGTTTTAGCAATATGTTATGCATACTTGGACTCAAGTATTTTAAAATAAACGAACACAACTGATTTAAAATCTAGTTTACCACACTGGAGTTTTTTATGAATTTAATATAAGCATCTGCAAAAAAATAAATAAGTTACTTACCGTTAAGGTCGGCTCGTATTTGAAAAATGTTTTCCCTCGGCCTCAGAAGCGACCTTCGGTCTGTACGGACCTTCCAGCCGTTAATATATATATATATATATATATATATATATATATATATATATATATATATATATATATATATATATATATATATATATATATATATATATATATATATATATATATATATATATATATATATATATATATATATATATATGTGTATATATATATATATATATATATATATATATATATATATATATCAATACGGAAAAAATGTTTTATATTGATTTTATAATATAGCATGCACAAAGAAATGACATAAAAAAAATTTTCCGACGTTCCGTCTTGACATTGAGTTATATCAACACGGCTCTTAACCAATCAGCGTTGAGAATTTACAAATGCTATATTATAAATAATAAATATTTACTACATGCAAGCAAACTGCTAAATTAAATATAGTTTTATCATGACCTTATATGGAAACGCTGCAGTGTCATTCTGCAGTTTTTTATTGGCATATTAATATCAGAATGATTTGTTGATTTCATATGAGAAGCAACGGAAAGTTTATTAAAGCTAATACACAGTGTGTTTTATCGATATATTTTTGAAGTCATAAAACACAAAAAGAAATATTATATGATAGTATTAAATTATCACTAAATAGACTGACACTCACAATTTGAATAATAATTAGCATGGAATCAGTGTAAAAGACGGAACGAATAATTATAACAAACAATCAATCAGAGACCAATTTTCGCGCTTCTTCCCCAGAACCTCACTAGCTTCCAGACAGAATGGCAGGCTCGGGGAAAGAGTTTGTCCCAATTTGAGACACTTCGAGGTGGCGGTTAGCCACGTTAATGACTTTAATTATCGCGACGATAACATAATTTATTAAAATTAACTTTCATGTAGAGAACTGTATATATAAGAAATAGGAAACATTATACGTAAAAACGTATTTCGGATAGGTCCAGGAGTACGTCAAGAATTCGAACTATACAGAGTGTATAAAAAAACAAGTACATGCATGGTCTTGAAATGTCACCTAAACTGAAAATTCCGCAACATTTGTGACAAATTTATGTTAGTATGGGTAGTTTGGGGTCTTCTGATATCTCTATCACAAAATTAATCTGAAAAGTAACTTTTCGAGTTTCGTGGGTTATTTCCAAAATCACTTTAGTTATATATAGACATGACTTGTGCACAAAGATGTCAGGTTTAAACAGATTTCCATCTCTTAATTAAGCAGGTTTTGCCTTATAACAGCCTTAATGAATAAATTTTTTTGTGCTTTTAGTAGATCTGTCGACAGCATGTAAGCTAATGCGTATAACAGTTTACTACACAACAATGGGAACTATATATCGCTTACTTGAAGAGCAGGACGTTTAAAATTGAGACGTGTACTTAGTAAAATTAACTTGTCAAAATTGCCAAATTTTTAAGTTGGCCAGTCGAGCAAGCAACAACCGAGGTTTCGGCAAAGCGGGCCTGCTCGATAGTTCTCATGTATTCGTAATTTTGAAAGCAGATGTGATAAGTGTACTGTACGAAGCGGGTCACTTTGAGTTAACTAGATTGACTGAGCCAACTTGATTAACCAAATCAACTCAAATAACGGAGCCAACTTGATTAACCATGCAAATCAACTTGATTAACTGG